AGAACAAAAGAAAATGGACTAAAATAGAAGGTGAGTAGAACAAAAAAGAACCGAGAGAGAGAGAGAGAGAAAGAGAGTGTTTGTGTGTATATACTTTCCACACACCTGTTTGGCACACTATATGAGGATGCGAGTAGAATAGGACATATAATTTATATCGTTGTAACTTGTCTGTTTACCTAGTCTAGTATCTTTCTTAAAGTGCGTATTAAAGTGGTGTGTTGCAAGTGAATAAAAATGGAGAAAGTATGTGTTTTTTTTAAACAAAAAAAGCAGTTCTTAACTAGGCTGAAAACAACACAACAAAGTGCTTAGTTTTAGGAGGAAGATGGTGAATTGAATGTTTATTGAAAAGGTAGAAGATGTAAGGGCTTAAAAGAATCAATTAGAGATTGAAAGACTGGGATTTTCTATGCCAATTGAATTGATTGAAGAGATTGGTAAAGTTTCATAGTTCCTAGAACACAGAGGTGAGAGAAATTACTAGGAAAAGGGAATATTTTACTTTTATGTTAAAAGCATGGGCCATGTACTATTGGGGTGGTTGCACACCCTTATCTACGGGCCTTCTCTTAACTATCTTTACAAATTTGTAAAATTTATAGAAAGTTGATATTTTAAAAGTACACATCGTTATAGATCTAACAAGATCCCACATACAGGTTTTTGTCCTTTTTTGTGTCATATTTTATGTTTCTGTTTGGTATGTTGAATTTTTACTTTGCTGCTGACATAAATGCTCTCTTTTTCATACATTCTTATTCTTTTTTCATTTGTCTTCCTAGGGATCAGAAGTTTGGAAAGACATTGTCCAGTTTAGAAAGTATGCACATGCATCCTTAGAGCTTTGTAAGATATACTTGGTAATATCATCTTCAACTGAAAGCCGTAGAGAGCTCTACGCAGCTGATATGCATCTCCGTAACACCATCAAGCAGGCAAGATTCTGGACTGTAGTACACATTCTTTTCAAAACCTTCATTTTTTGTATATTTATCAAATTTATTAGTCTTTTCCCAACTAAATAAAGGAAAAAAAAAAATAGAAATAAAGTAATTACTTTATGTGCTTTGCAGGCAAGTTCATTTTCAGACACTGAAGAATTCAAGGCTCTCCAAGCTTGCCTCAATGATGTTCAGATGAGACTTAAATCTAACTCAGTGCCAACTTCTTAAAATGGAGCAAAGTATATTTTGTTTGTAAGGTATCTGTTTTGGCAAGTTTTCTATGAAGGAGCTTAAACTGACAAAAATATTAAGCATACAAAATTACCAACCTTTTGCGTGCTGAAAGTTGTTTGCTAAATGTTGCTTTACCTATTTTTCTCCTTGGGTTATGTTGTTCAAGTACTCGTATATGTTTATTTACTCTATTGATTTTGTTCTCCTATATACTCCTAGATTTTGTTCAATATTCTATGGAAATGCTTTAGTCAGTATGGCATTCAATCACCTTACTGGTTAGGTATTGACACCCTTTTCAAGAATGGAAAATTTTAGGTAGCCAATGCAGGAATATTAGGTATTTTTTTTTGTAATGTCACTTTTTTGCTAAAATAGTGTTGTTTGCTCAATAAGGAAGTCAAGGGACGCCAATACCCAAAGATCATTTTGATAGAAATAAATGGAGGAAGGGTAGGGTATCTTGATTCATGTAACCGATCCCATCTTTTTTTGGGATTAAGACTTAGGCATTGGGTGTTGTTAATGTTTCCTTGTAGACTATGACTATTATTATCTTCACTGCTGTATCTGCTGTTCATTCGTTTCTTTCAAAGGATCTGCAGTTCATTCTCATTTGCTAAGACTGCTGTTGACTTGAATTTTACAGGAAGTTTGATAGGCTGATAGGCTCATGCACATTGTATTATCTATTGAATGGTCTTAGATGTAACTCAAGTACTCGATTGGTTTGCAAAGCTGCTTCATGTAAGTGTACTCTATTGCAATTAGGTGCTCTACCTGTCAACCATGCTCTGTCAGCATAGATATTGCTGACAAAATGCAAACTGCAAAATGCCTAAGCTGCTCCTTGTTTCGCTGTTATCAGTGTTGTAGAATCACAAGTTTTACAAAATCGATCATGACTTTCTAGCTGATAATGTGTAATCTTCTGGTCAGTGATTATTTCAAGACTAGTTTGTATATTACCAAGAGAATTTTGGCTGTAATACAGAAATCATAGCTAATATTTTTCAAAATCTCCCAATTTTGTTGCATGGGGGAAGCCTCTGTTGTTACTTGAATACTATGTATCATATTAACATATTATACTGTTTACACGATCTGAGAGCTTGGTTGTTGTTGTTGTTTTTATGTGATTTATTTTTTTTATAAGTTGGTTTGTGTTTTGTTTTCTTTAAGTAATATAATGTTGATTATCCTTTTAAGTTATATGTATTTGGGGAACCATTCTCTTTCCTCAAATGTCTTATATGATCCAATGGAAACCAAAATTTGTTAAAAGTTGTTTCTTAAGAAATTTACATTATCTTGCTAAAATGTCTTGATGGAAATTAACAAAGAACATAAAAAGCAAAGTTACGAAATACCCCTTTGTTAAGAAAAATTGGGATAATGAACTTAAACAATTAAGAAGTAGTTGGAGTATACTACATAGTATATACTATGTTCCAACTTAGATATGTTTCTAGTGGAATAATATATATATATATATATAATTCACGGGAAAGGCTCTCGCGAGCACCCCTCTTTTATGTAAGAATTCTACTTATGTGAGAACACTTTTTATATTCTAAAATTTTACTTGTATGTTCTAAATTTTAAATATAATGTTCTAAACTTTTCCCCAGTTGTTATAAATTAAATAAGATGTTTTAAATTAGTACTCACATGTTCTAAACCCTAAATTAATTAAGTTAAATTTTATAAATTTAGAATGACTTATTCTTAAATATTAACTTACATGTTCTAAATTTTAAAACGTGCGTGTGTTATAAGATTTTTAGTTATATGTTATACATTTTGAAAGCATATGTTCCAATTTTTACTCGTATGTTCTAAATTTTTACTTAAATGTTCTACATTTTTACTCGTATGTTCTAAATTTTTACTTAAATGTTCTACATTTTTACTCTTATTTTCTATATTTAATACCAGGTGTTCTAAATTTTTATTCACATGTTCTAAATATTAATTCAGATGTTCTAAATTTCATAAAGCAGTTTTTTTAAAATTTTTACTCACATGTTCTCATAAATCAAATGTTCTAAATTATTACTCACACAGATGTTCTAAATTATTATCCATATGTTCAAAATTTAAATTTGAGTCGCATGTTCTAAATTTTTACTCGTATGTTATAAATTTGTACTAAGGTGTTCTCAATTTGAAATTATAAATCAGTTTTCATTTAAGTATGAATTCTCACATATGAACCTATTCTCACTAGATCCCTCCCATATATATTGGTAGGAACAAAACATTAGAGCAAAATGTTATGTTCTTTGAAATAGCTAAATATTCAATCTAACTTGAATATTAGCATCAATGTGGCATGTAATTTCTTAGTAACGAAACTCAAATTTTGACATTGAATATAAAAAAGGAAAAATTAGAAAATAACACCACAAAAACGCCACGATTTTGATAATAACACCATATAAAAAAAAGTTTTGATTATAACACCTCCGAAAATCTCAAAAATTTGATTTCACCACCGCATAGAGGATGCCGTCAAAAAAACCGTTTGTGGACCCCACTAAATACACTTGTCTTTTATATATTGGTTATAATTTTTTTTTAAAAAAAAAAAACCTAAACCCTTAGTCCAGCCACGAAGCTCACCACCGGCAGCCCTACATCCCACCACCGGTACTACCCCCCACTGCCGCCAAGCCACACCAGTGTCCACCCAGCCACCCCCACCCTCCTTAACCAACCCCGAAAATCCACCACAGCTGCCCAAGCGGCCAAGCCACCGCTTGTGTCCCCAGCCCCGCAGCTCCGGCCACCAGAACCCAACCCCAGCGCCGGCATCGGGGTCTAGCCCCTACCCTACATCCACCGTGAGTCCAGCCCCAACCCAAACCCAACCCCAACCCCAGCGCGACTCCAGCCTCAACCCCAGCCCCACCGCGACTCCAGCCACCACCTCGAAAACCCCATTTCTGTCCCGATCCAGCTTCCTTCCCCTTACCAGTCCCTTTTCCGGCAACCTCGCTTTTCCTACGCTCCGATTACGACCCCCATCTCCTTCCTAAGCCTCAATTTCGGCCCATCTCCCCATCCCTTTTATGTCCCGATCCCAACCCCCTTCCTCTTCCCCGATCCCTTTTCCGGTCCCTCCCCTTCCCCACGCTCCGATTTCGACCCTAGCTCGCAACTCCATAAACCCTAGCCACCACAAAAATGGCGACTAATGGTTGAAATCGGCCAAGTTAGGGCCTGAGTGGTCAAGTTCGGTGGCTGGAGGGGTGTCGGAAGTGGTGTAAGGGATGGGAATTCGTTGTGTATGGTGGCGGAGGTGGTGGTTGAGGGGGTTTTTCGATGCAAATAACGTGGTTGATGGTGGGGCAAGGCCGAGCTGGGGCAGGGGTTCGTGGTTTCGCAGGTTTTGGTGGGGCAGGGGTGCCGATGGCTTGGGTTAGCCTGTCGGTGGGGGTGGACAGGTGGTGCCAGTGGTGGGGTTGGGCTGGGTTTGGTTGTTGAGGGTTTTTTTATTTTTTTTTTATTAATTTTTTTAAACTAATAGGATAGTGACATGTGTCTGTTATGGGCCCACTAACGGATTCCATCCAAAAATCCGTTAAGTGGTGGTGAAATCAATTTTTTGGTTTTTTTTGTGGTGTTATAATAAAAGTTTTTTTTTTTTTTTAGGTGTTATTATCAAAATTTGTGTTTTTTTGTGGTGTTATTTTCTAAAATTTTCTATAAAAAATTATTGCAGGAAAAACCTTGGGAAGTGACAAATTTTGAAATGTTATTGATGATTTTAGAAAGTTAGAGAAAATTTTGTTTAAGACAAGAAAGTGGAGATTATTGAGAGTGTAAGAATACTAGTAGAAACCAAATGTCAAGTTTCCATTTTAGTTTTTTTTTGATTTAATTACACCAGATCAATATCTCAATTAAAGGGAATTAATCTTTGTTTACAATCCCAAAGCTCCTAGGGGAGTTTTCCCTTGTCCAGCTTCAAAGTAAAAAGTAAGCATAGCTAACATAGCAATTCTAGCATGCTTAATCTCAGCTAACTTCAGTCCTTCTAGCTTCTCTGTGTCTGGAATGTAAACACCATTATTGATGGTTCCTGCTAAGCTCAACGGGTCGAAAAACTTGCCACCAGGGTAACCTTGTTCTCCTGTCGTATTGCTGAAGTTCTCAGCAGTTTTTGACCAAGGGGTTGCCCATTCCACGGATTGCGAGTCGGGGTCGAAGAAATCCACCCATCTCTTGCTCTCTACCCATCCCATGAGCAAGAGTTGAGTCCCTAGCAATGTTCCGAATGAGAATGGAGCTACGGCGCCTGGGTCTGCACCAGCCTCGAACCATGGGATCCCGGTCCATGCCTGTCCGACAAAGATCCCGACAACTGCTAGCATTGCCCATCTCCCGTGGATTAGCTCTGCCTCTCTGTACCATTTTAGGAATGCTGGGTCCTTTCCTAGCCCTAGTGGGTCGAATCCGTAGTCTCCTGGGAGTCTGTTTTTTTAGCATGAAATTGTATTAGAGGAAACATTAATAAACATACTTTAAATATAAAGACCTTAATCTTACATTGACAATCATTAAAAGTTTTTAGTTTTACACACACAAATCTAACTATTGATCAAACCGTTACAAACTCAACAACAAATATTAACAAAAATAATTCTTCCTATCAGAAAGAATCCAAAAATAAAAATATAATGAACAATCTTTTAAGCTATAACTGATAAACTAAACTTTATTAGCAATTTCAAACTAAAGTATACTAATTTGATTATTTAATATTCCATCTGTCTTTAAATGTTTCTCTTTTATTGTCGTACAAAAACTAGGAAGAACTTATAGAAACATAATACAAAGTAAAATTGATTGGCGAGAGAGAAAACTTACGAGCCATCGAGCCACTCGGGGTCAACGAAGTTGCCACCACCTTGAACAGCAGGAATCCAAGACTTCTTAGGAGCAGCTGCAGCAGCCACAATCAACTTCCTGCTGGATGTTGTTGTAACTTTGCTGTTAACAACCGCAGCTCCAAACAGCAATGACTGACTACTCTTCTTCCCGCCCGACACGAAGGGCGAGGTAAACCCATTTACTACAGCTGTAGCAGATGTTGCTGCTGCCATTTTTCTTGTTTCTGACCTAAATTTGCTGCTGATTCAAGCAGTCTGCTCTTTTTCTAATAACTCAGGCTGTGTAATTGGTTTTTCTGAAAGATTTTTTCTTAAGAGTGCTGATTTTATGAACTAATTTGTGGGGTTGAGGAGATCAAAATAGACATCTTGAGAGGTGCCAAGTAGGATGAGTGAAATCTAGGGAAGATATGTAAATGGATATATGGTGGATAGATAAGGAGCCAATCAGATGTTAGACTCCATCCACATTTTGATGTTTTTTGGAGTCAGGTGTATTATCACAAGTTGTTGTTTTTCTAAGTCACTTTCTTTGGTAACATCATTTGTGGTTGTTATGGGCTTACAACTATATTGTACTCCCTCAGTTTTTAGATAATTGCTCCATTTCTCCATGCGCGAAGTTTTAGGAGAAATTGGAGAAAGTAATAAAATATGGAGGTAGTGGGGTTGGTGAACAATAAAAAATTGTAAAAAACAAAAGTAGTGGAGAAATTGGAGGTGAGAGAATATGAAATGAATAAAATATAATATTTGTTAGGTCTACTAGGTAGTAGAAATGAATTAAATTTTGTAAAAACTTTTCAAAATTTGTTATTAGCAAAATAGAAATTTTTTAAATGCGTACGTATGTATATTTATATATATTTCACCAACAAATTTATATCGTTTTCTTCTTATTAACCAATTGTATTATATATTTCAAGATTTCCCTAAAAAAAAATCTAGTGAGATCTTGTTTTATTCTTCTCGATTTATATATGGAGTATTTCAAATGTCACTATTTTATAATCTTTACTTGGTTAGGTTTTGTGCTATGCACGGTAACTTTTAATAACTATTCTTTAATTAAAATTATATTTAATTATAAAAAAAATTAAATCTGGCTAAGTTATTAATCTGCAAAATGAATTTATTATGAAAATATATTATTAGCAAAATAGAATTTTTTTAAATGTGTATGTATCTATATTTATATATATTTCACCAACAAATTTATATCGTTTTCTTCTTGTTAACCAACTGTATTATATATTTCAAGATTTCCCTCAAAAAAAAAAAGGTCTAGTGAGATCTTGTTTTATTCTTCTCGATTTATATATGGAGTATTTCAAATGTCACTATTTTATAATCTTTTAGGTTAGGTTCTGTGCCATGCACGATAACTTTTAATGATTATTCCTTAACTAAAATTATATTTACTTATAAAAATTATTAAATCTAGCTAAGTTATTAATCTGCATAATGAATTGATTATGAAAATCTATTATTAGCAAAATAGATATTTTTAAAATGCATATGTATATATATTTATTTACTACCTCCGGTTTGAATTACTCGCAACTTTGGGAGGTATTGCGCAAACTTAGGCAAAAGATCATAAGCATAATTATTGAAAAATAAGGGTATATACTGGAACATTAATCCACCCCCCCCCCAAACAGAAAAAAAAATCAACCAAATTTAATATGCATAACCCACCACCAAACACCACCACCTACAACCGAACCCACCCAGCTGTACAAAAATCACCACCACTGCCTACCACTGAACCTACCACCTACAGCCGCTCCTAGCACCACCACCACCACCACCACCTACCACCAAGCCCAGATGTACAGAAACCACCACCACCACCACCTATCATCGAACCCAGCAAACCCAGCACCGATCTTCCCTAAACCTAGCGACCCCAACACTAACAAACCTAGCAACTACCAAACCCATCAACCCCAACATTGACAAACCTAGCACTGCCGAACCCAGCAACCCCGAACCCACTAACCTACGAACCCATCAACCACTGACGACCACCCAACACCCACGAAACCCAGCACCGCCGAACCAAGCCACCACTGATCTAAACCCAGCAACCATCTAAACCCAGCACCCACCGAATCCATCAACCACCCACGAATACACTGGTCTGAACCCACCCACCTACCACCGTCGACCCACCAATTTGAACCTACCACCAACGAACCCACCATGAGAATGGAATTGGAGGAGGAGAGAGAAAAATAATGGGAAGAAGATGATGGTGAAATTAATGAATCTTGGGGTAGTTTAATTATGATTTTTTTTTTTTAAAAAAAAAGTTGTTTAATTAGGATGCTTAAAAAAAAAGTGAGGGTAAATTCGTCATTATGTAGTTAAAAATTTATTAAAAAAGGAAAGAAAAACAAAAGTTGCAATGAATGTGAACCATCCCTTTTTGCAAAAGTTGCGAGTAATTCAAATCGGAGGTAGTGTATTTCACCAACAAATTTATATCTCTTTCTTCTTGTTAACCAATTGTATTATATATTTCAAAATTTCCCTAAAAAAAAAGGTTTAGTGAGATCTTGTTTTATTCTTCTCGATTTATATATGGAGTATTTAAAATGTCACTATTTCTTTAATTAAAATTATATTTAATTATAAAAAAATTAAATCTGGCTAAGTTATTAATCTGCAAAATGAATTTATTATGAAAATCTATTATTACCAAAATAGATATATTTAAAATGCGTATGTATGTATATTTATATATATTTCACCAACAAATTTATCGTTTTTTTCTTGTTAACCAACTGAAAGTTTTAACAATATGTGTTTAACCTGTAAATAGATTTGTTTTTTGCACACTATTATTCATTCTCTCCTATGTATGTTGCATTTTTTTTTCTCAATAATCAACTGACTTAAGATACTTTTTCATATCTTTCTTGGCAATCATTTCATACATGATTAAGGACAATTTTTTAGTTTTTTATTTAAAAAAATCGTTGTTTTATTAATGGTAAAGTAGTTCGTAACTCTACATATGTCATAAAGAAGTTTATAGTATCCATATATATTTGGAAGGATTGAAGAAAAATGTTTTGTAATCTTTTATTTATGTGTAATATTTATTTTTTAGGAAGAACAAAGATAGACACATGGGTAGAGCTCATGAAGGAATAAAAAAAACAATTCTACCCTGACAACACAAAATTTGTTGCTCAAATGAAGTTACAAGAATGCTTCCAGAAGGGCTCTATTCACGACTATTTGAAGGGATAATCGACGATAATGTTGGACATCACAAACATGAATGAGAAAGATCGTGTGTTCAACTTTATTAATGAGTAGAAGCTAGGAATGGGCGTAGAGATTTTAAGGCAGAAAAATTGACACTCTTGCTGCTGCTATGTGCGCTACTGAGAGATTGATGGACTATTTGTCGAGAAGTTCCATTAGTCCAAGAATGATTCTAGTGGGAACGTCCACACTCTACGATAACCCGTCTATAAGCTCTCCAAAGGGTACGGGAGTAGGCTCTCGAGTATCGTCCAACAACTTTGAAAGGTACCAGAGAAGAAGTGGAGGAGGTAATGCTCATAAATCTACTTCAACCCCTCCTACAACTCCAAGGTTGGCACGTCCTCGATAAACACAAAGTCGCTAAATTGCATACTTTGTCGAGGCTCACATAAATGGTAGGAGTGAAGCACAACGAAAAGATTAACAAGCTTTAAATGGGATGTCTTCCATGTCCTTATAGGAGGCCCCAAAGGAGAAAGGGAACAATAAAGAGACCAACGGTGATGAGGAACCCACATGCAGGATGGGTTCCATCTACTAAATGAGTGCTATGAGAATGATTGCACCTGAGGATGAACCGAAAGTCCGATATCTATCGGCAATGTGAGTGATGGAGCCATAGAATGAGGCAACATCAAAGAAACAAGCTCGCACCAATAATCCTGAGAATCGGGAGATGAAGCCTAATGAGCCGACGACATTAGAGAGACACCCCTGCCACAACAAAAATAAAAAACAATGCTCGAAGCAAGCAACGACGAGCCTAGAGACCCCGAGGAGACACAAAAAATGAGCTTCTCAACAGAAAGGGAGTACAGTGGTCATCAAGAAAACAATAATGAACCTCTCAACAGAAAGGGATTACAAAGAAAATGGATACCTAAGAGGCACCGACCATAGTTGGAAGCTCACTACCACAGTCTCAACGAAGCAACTCCTTGACAGATGATCGAAGAAGTATCTCTCCACAAGAAACCAAAAGATGCATATCACGAGAGGAAATTCAGATATGAAGTTCTAAACAAGTTATTCAAGAAGGGCCAACCCAAAGATAAGCTCCACGGCACAAACGGAGATCCAGATCCAGAGTCGACGAAAATTCAACAAGCCTGACGCATCAACGGCACATCAGAGACTCAAGATAGATTAGGATTTTCTAGTTTTTATTGTAATTCTTGTAAGTCGACGTGGTTGTCGACACCTTAAGTGGTGGAGATTTTTAGAATCCAACTCCTTTTGATGTATTAGATCCCTTTTTAATGTTTTCTTAGAGTTTACTTTATGTTTCCTAGGCCTTAGATCCTATTATTGTGGTATTGTCATCTTAGTGTTCACTAGTAATTATTTTCATGTATTATCTAAAGCTCTTTAAAGGGTGAATGATTGAATGAAATCTTAAGCCTTCTACTAGGTGTTGTTTTGCTTGTATTCTTATCTGTTGTTAGACCTTTATAGATATTGTGTCTTAGTTTCATAATAGTTCCACTCCCCACCAACTTGATGCACTAAGAACTCGTGTTTCGGACCCGCTTATACCCGCCTTGAATTATCGGTCGTCACAAGCCCCAAACCACTCGCACTCCATCGCCAAAAGACAAGAGCGATCTTGAAATTTAATTTCCCACTTGTGTTGCTTCGTTCCCACAAGCCCCATTTTCGCATTAAGGCTTGCGCTCTAGCCGCTAAATGGCTAGAGCGCGCCGCTCGTTCGGCTGCTCAAAATCTTTGACTATGACACAATGCCTAGGTACAATGAAAAGGGAGAATGTTTATTTATTCGAAAGATAAGCATATTTCCATTCACATATAAAGAGTCGGTAAAAAGAAGTTCCAAACTGGATAAAAAAAATGTGACAAAAGTAATTGAATGCCAGTACAAATGTCACGAGAAGAATGTTGATTGATCAATCATATAAATATAAAGAAATGGTTGTAGACTAGACAACATACCAACATATACATTCATCAAGATAATGGAAGGGCACACATTACACAAGCAAATCTAGATACAATCTATTCACTTGCATTTTATGCGGTTTCCAACG